TGTGTATCCATTGCCGCGGTAACGTTTCTAATGAGCCGTTGCCTGGCAACGTTAGGGGATACACATAGAAACACAGAATAATGGGAAGGATTTATGAAGTCCGCATTTGAGATGGGCTCAGGTGCCGCGATATACGTATCAGGTTTCATGTAGATTGGTTCAGGCATTCAGACTTTGATAGAGGGGGACACACAGACATTAGACAGCATGGTAATCTCACAAGCCTACTTTTATATTTTCGAAATAATGAAAGTAGGCCAAAAAGAAATTCAGTTATAATTGGAGCACAAGTTAAAAGGACATTAAAGTTCCTATATCTATCACGTACAATGTTTACCAGATAATCTTTCCAGAGGGATAAAGCGGCCAGAGCTTAAACCTGCAAACTCACATCATTATCATGCAGAATATATGAAGCTCTATTTCGGTCTCACATACGCCTTCGTGACATTGCATTTAATTAAGCGCAAGGATAATAACTTGTGTGGCAAATATATTGTGACACGACTACTTAAACTTTGTCCATTGCGAGGTAACGGCTCGAACAACAAGCGAGCCATCGATAGACAACTTCCCGCGACAACAATAGAAGAATTGTGTGAAAATGTAGTCAGCCGACAACGTCGGAAGCACAAGAGCATATGAATGTCCATTGTTAGAAGCCGTCACATAACAACGTGTAGTAAAGATATAGAAAACTTCATGCGTGCTGCAGTACAGTGATGTGTACAGTATGTAAATCCGTGAAACTGATATAGTTACCCGTAGTTACATGTTGTAGGTGTTCAATAAATCCAACTGTCAATTCAACCCTATTGTCTAGTCTCTAACGTTTTAAAATATATTGAAAATAAACTTGGTTAAAACATGTAAATGGCCCTAATTTACACAACACAGTAGTGTAGTAGGAGTGTAGTGTGGTTTCTGTTGTAACAGACAGAAGAATTATTTCACTGCAAAACATTTTGTGATAAGTTGGCCCTTTCTGATTAGAAATTCATACTTAATATTTGTTAATGTCCACTTTAAAAGTAATTTTATAAATTCGTCAATTAATTACAGGACCTTCCCTCTTTTCCTTCTGAAGGGCATATAATGTCCTCATGGGCCCTTAAGACCACTTCACTCCTCTGACTACAAAGTCATCAGCAGTTCCCTTCCAGTAGCAACCCGCTTCCAAAAGGAACAGTGACCTTAGTCTGCGTAATACTATGGAACACATGCACTAGCAACCTCCATTTTGTTTTGTTCTTGTGTAGTTTAACGGTACTAATTCGAAAGTAGAGGTCATAGAGCATTGAATAAGATGAAAATATGGCATGGAACAGTGGGTTACTGAAGTTTTTCCCTTATTCTGTTAAGTAAATATTTTCCTTGTGTTATATTTTAACTCATTTCCGTGACTGGGAAGGTAAAGTCTTCAAAATTTTCTCAGACTTAGCTAATCAGGTATCTTTTAAATGTCGAAAGTGAGGCATTCCTGAATTAGAATTCTTCTTTCACATTCGAAATCTGGAGGGATGTTTAGAAAACACCAGTCTCGTCGTGAAGGTAAATTTGTCCCTGTGCTTAACTAATTAAACTCTACGCCACAGAGACATATGTGGGAGTGGATGTATCCCGGATCTCGGCATTGGTTGGAGATGAGTGGTTAGCTCCGCGCTACTCACTACGAGAATTTTTGCAACATTTGTCTGAAATTGACTCCCAACTGGGACACAATAAGTATTAAATTCCCCTCTTAGAGACTTGAATTTATATAGCAACTTCTTTACCTAATTATAAAGCGTTTGAATACCCTATAACTTGTTATTTTAAAGACCCAACTTCAATTTATGTGCATTTCCGCATAGGCCTATAATTTTTTACATGCCATAGCAGCTAATTAGTCATGTCGTTTCCGAAACCCCACTCCGTAATTATGCTTTTCCCGAACTACGTGCCTCAGCCAGTCATCTGTAGTAGTAGCATTTCTGGGGAGGTCTCAGCATTGCCAGGCCTAGCGAACCCATAGTTCCGCACCTATGCTAAAGCCCTAATCCCTGAGAAACTGATAGGCTTCTTCCAAATGAGTTGCAGATTTCCTGAAGAACCTTTTGAAAGCAATGTCTATGCAAGTCCAAATCGCAGAGCCTTCTGTATTCAAAGTACACCATAGCAAGCTTGCTGATATTTACAATTAAATTTTCTTTTCTTCATCATCCTTCCCATTAATAGGCCGGGTACTCCTTCGTCAATTTTATTAGCCTATTTTCCTTATTTTGAAAACATTGAAAATAGGATTATGAAATCTCCCATATTGTCTGTGTATTCCCCAATCAACTTTAAAATGGATGAATCTGTCTTTATGAAACTTTATATGTGTATCAAGGCATCTGAGGCCCTAAGGTTACTAGGCAACGGCTGGATAAAAACGTTACCGCTACAATGAATACGAATGAAACAACAAGAGAAGTGTTGGAGGCGTCGTTTTCTGTGCGATTCGTATTGTATCAAGGAGAGCAGGCGGTTAGTTGTTTGCAGAATTTTTGTTTCTCCTGTGGTTTTATAGACTAACCTACACGTTGTCTTCTTTGTACTCACGTATTACATTCTTAATACAATCAGAGCTCATTCCATTAACTTTTCTTCTTAGTTTTATATTCTGTTTTGTGCAAAATCTGTTACATGTGAAATCTGCAATTAAGCCTGTTTCATTTTCTCAATTTTCTTTACGGTCTAAAAGAATGTAACCGCTTTCCTTCTCATGAAAAATATATTTCAGTTGTCAAAAATATTTTCTCATCACTACTTTTTATAGTGTCGTTATCTCTGATCCATTTAATAATTCCGGTTAACAAGCATTTTGTAAATTACATTCATTTCATGTAATGACAATAATATTTTGAAAACATGAATTATTATGTAAGATTTGAGGCTTTCACGGCGGTGACTATGAAGAAAGCAGTCTTCTGGGATTTGGCACCGTGTATATGTGGTGTTAACCGACGTTTCGGAGGAACGTATCGCCTCCATCTTCAGAGTAGAAGGAAAAATATAAGAAAACCGCAGTCTGTTTTACCGGTTCTCACAGTCTCTTCGCTTGCAGATTTCTTATATTTTTTCTTCCACCCTGAAGATGGAGGCGATACGTTCCTCCGAAACGTCTGTTAACACCACATATACACGGTGCCAAATCCCAGAAGACTGCTTTCTTCGTGATTTATTATGACCAAAGTTTGTTCAGAAGCAAAAAGTGTGACATCTTTATTATTGTACATGCAGCAAATAACTGGTAGAACTTTCTTTTACTTTGGTGTATGTCATCAAGGCATGCACAGGTAAGACTTTAGATAGGAACTGTAGAAATATGAACATAAATATCCTATCAGACAGTCAAGATGCAATCATAGCACTTGGTACACACCAAATCACTTCAAAATTGGTTTGGGATTGCCACCAATCCCTCACACAACTGGCCAGACATAACAGAGTGCAGCTGATATGGGTGCCAGGTCATGACGGTATTGTATGGAATGAAACCGCAGATCAGCTGGCAAGAACAGGACCTGAACCAGCTTGCGGCATCTCAATTGGAGTTGCCAAGAAAGCGATCAGGGACTGGACTGGCAGAAATCACAAAAAGCACAAGTGGACTCAAACGGGCAAAAGGATTTATATCAGGACCCTCTGCCAAAAGAACGAGGGACCTGTTAAAATTAAACAGAGATCAACTCAGACTGGGGGTAGGATTACTTACTGGGCACTGCCACCTGAAGGGACACTTTTCCAAACTGGGATTGACAGAGGATCCAACTCGTGAGAGGTGCCTACAAGAAGATGAATCTGCCACACACATCTTATGTGATTGTGAGGCCGTAGCTTATTTAAGATATCACCATCTGGGTCAGTTCTTCATGGAACCAAATGACTTTTATGACGCCCCCGTAAACAAAGTCCTACATTTCATTCAAAGTGTAGGATTAATAAAGGGTTAACCCAAAGGGAAGCACAATAGATCATTGAAGGTCGCAGTGCTAGGGCCAGTTTTATTGCTCACCCTTCATACTCATAATCATACTCATACTCATTCTTTTACTTTCATGGCCACTAAGAAATAGTTTCAGCCAAATTTCTTCAGTGCACTGTGGACTAATTCTCTGACTGAGGAGGGAGCATTTCAAGTTACCAAACTAAGGTCAGCGTTTTAATATTTTCAGCACCAGCCCCTGTAAACCGTATCTATATGAAACACCTAGCATTGAAATGGTATTGATCCTTTTAAAATAGATTTCACTTTTTAGCCTGAACTGTTCAAAAATTAAACATTCGTATCTCCAGGCGATGGCTCTGCCAACAAAGGGTAGATGCCCCCAGTAATGCAAATCAGCGGACATGTCAGATGTCAGATACGGAGAAGCGGTTTAATCAATGCTACCATTTTATGCAATATTTTGTTTAATGTAGACGTAATCCATCTCGACACTACCGGTTTAAAATGTTTCAGAAAGGCCAGATTAATGGAAACAGGAAATTCCTATCACAGAATGGACCCAGTGTCATTAATAATTACCTCTCGTTGTTGAGTTTTGCTCCGAAGGAACTGTTAACACATTATGAAGTCATTTTTAGATCGTAAGTATTCCTTGTATAATGCAACGAAGCCGATCTTTTATGAATTGCACTAAAATATATTTAATACACTAGAAAAATCTGTTAAACATTTTAAATGTCATTAACTATATATATTCATTTCTTGTCGCTACATGTTTCGGCCACATATGGGCAATCAACACATTATTGGGGAAACAACTGCGCTGTATACTTTGTCTTCTGTGCCCTTAGGTACATCGTTGTTTTTGTGGTTAAATTTTCTTAGGATATTTCCATCATAAATTTTGGCGGCTATTTCAGTTTTTTTTATGTCGTTTACTTTTATTGTGCATACTGCTGTCTTCTCTTGCACTCTATAAAGTGCTTTTATAATTAATAATAATTAACGTGCTTTCTCTCTTTTACAGGTTTGCGTGTCATGCTGTGACGAGATGTACTGTAACATATCTGTACCCAGCAACCAAAGCACGGCTGTGTATTCTGACACGAGAACAAAAGCCAGACGTCGTTCACAACAGCATGACAATATCCACAACAGCACCAACACTGCAAGTCGACTCTGGCCTGCGCCATCTTCGTCACAAACACCTACTCACTTAGTCATTGTTGTTCTGACGATGTCCGCGACACTAGTGCGAATATAGCTCACTTCTACGCAACTTCTCTAAGTTTCGAATACTGCTGTTGCTGCCGTCTACGAGCTTGAGTGTTCTGTGTAGTGTGCTTACAAAGACATCAAACAAACCACTGTTAACGCCAATAAAGTATGGCGTAGAGAATGTAAAGATAAGAAACGTACAGTCACAGAAGAGAACACTTGGCTTTACATTCAATGATATTTTCGAGGGTGCCCCAAACACATTGTCAAGTCTCTGAGTTAAAAGTAAGTAAATCGTTTACCTCAGTTTTAAATTAAGAAGAATTGGGGATTGATATTAAATCAATCACGACTCTAAACATAGTCCATTTCATTTCTACATAAGTCTGTCTCTCATTTGGAAATATCAACTGGTCAATACAATCTTGATCGTTGTGAGACATCTATTCCCCATTCTACTAACTGCTATTTTAATGGCTGTGAAATATCTGATGATGAAAATCGAAAACAAAAATTCATTACGAGGCGACAGATGTCGTGTACCTAGATAGATAGATTAATCTAATTGTGAGGGATTTAATTTACATTATTTTTAAATTAAATTTATAAACGAATTTCAAGTAGTCAGAATTAAGGTTGCAGTTGCAGTGGATCAGTCGAATCAGGTGCGATACACTTTCATTATAATAACGACGTGTTCTCCAAATATAGTTAGAACGCACAAACCGAAGTGTCCTGAATCAAGACGTTGAAGTGAGCTCGGCACGAAGCAGCAGCGGCGGATATAAATACAGTGAAAATCAAGATGGAAGCACTCAATTTAAAAATAGTACTGGATTGTTAACTAAGATGGAAGTACCTGAGGATTTTGAAGCGAGGAAAATAAATCTCCTATTAAAATGTGTGTTCCTGTACATTAAGGTGCCACATGTTTGCAACGGAACTTAAGAATGGAACAGACTACTGAGATATACAAACTAATAAGTGAAGCATATTCTGAAGTAAGAATCCACAGCAAAGAGTGTTATTTTCAACATAGCTCTAACTAAAACATAAAAAAGCCGCACTAAAGACCGCAACACTATGCTAACTTTTAAGGTACTTTATAACAAAACTAATTAACGAAAGTGCGAAAAAAAACTCTCTCAAAACAAACAGAGTTTATGAACACGCCCATGTATTTTCAACAGCATGCTGAAATTAATTTAATCTATTTTAATTAACTCAGGAAGAACTTCAAGTAATGTTAATGTACTTTTGGCCTGATATAAATTCACATTCACTTCTCCATAAGCCGAAAGTTTGTGCTCGTTTTTTCGTGTTGTTCTGTGTCATGTATTGATGGGCTTACTCTATCTTGAATGTTCCTACCGCGTGCAGTGTATATCATACATCTGAATTAATTGTAATGAGAAACAGGGTGTAGCACCCAATCCGGAAAATCGAGAAAAGTTTATGGTAATTCATGCAAACTTAAGTCAAATACTATTTCACAGTACACAACTGGTGAATTGTCCGTAAAATTTAATTTTATATTTCTTGCGTCAGTAGTCTTTTTCATATAGCCACCAATATCATTATTTTCAATATTATTGTTTGTATTACTCCTCCCCAGTGCAGGCCTACAATTGGTAACCAACCTCTACGTAACCGATCAGACATGGAGCTTAATAAGTGAAGCAGATCTCTCCAACTGTGAGTCGCTTCAAGCGACGGCTGCTGATACACGGTTCAGTGATGTGATGGACTATATTAGCGCATGATGTCTATAGAACTCCGTAATGACACAGACTATTGTTATGTAAATGAGGAACAACCAACTGCACATAAATGCATTTGAAATAAATCTATCGCCGGAAACACTTCTCCATGTTTAGGACGTAAGGACTGAAAAAAACTACAGTTCATCATTCAAACATGTGGAAAACTTCGTGATACCATAAGCAAGATATCAAATATTTTCAACAATTGGATGTACACACTGATTAGTCGGCCATACTGCCCTTCATCTACAAATAAAACATTACTGAAAGTAACAATTTGTTATTTATTACGCGGTAGACATTGAATTTTCTCCTTAAGTATATCTTTTCAAAATGAACCGACGTTGGAAGTGAAGGCAGTACTCCTGAATTATAATCCTGTTAGTGGAGATCCTTCAGTAGGTTCAAGTTTTTAAGTTGTTTTACTTAATGCTATATATTCAGTGTGCCGATAATTAGATACACAATTAATATATATCAATAAAACAAACAATAATTCTGCAATACAAAAATTAAATCTTTCATTGTGACTAAATATGGTACATTCTCTCTACAATGCATTTCACACATGAATGTACTTCCATAGCTGCTCGTTATCAAAACGACTATATATGTACCTACATATATAATTTCAGATGGAACCAATTACTGATTTAGGAAAACAATCTATTTTAATGCTTAAATGATCGGCTATTTAATTGTTCAAAACTGGGCAGCTTGTTGTGGTGTAATTCATATACAGACATTGAAACATAGTGGATGCAATTGAAACAATCTCTTTCATCAACTGAATCAGGGTACATTCCAATAGACAAGGTGCATTTTTAAGAGAACACACGCTAGTTAAAGAGACAGGCGAAATAAAACTATGATTCTACACTGCGGAATTGGAGTATTTCAAGAGACCAAAATTGAAAACCCAAGAGTAATAGCGCTGAGCAACCTCGGAATTCCAAATGGCAAATGCATTTTTCGCTCTGAACTTTCACTTCCAAACAATAAATATTTAAATTATTCAGGCTGTTTTCACCTTCATAAAAAATATGTAATCCTATTAACCATTCAAACATTGTTAAAAATAAATAATACCACACTAGCGCGACTATACATCTCACCTTTAAAATTAGGAAAAGCAAAATAATGGGTAAATCACTGTCTTACCTACTGCGTCCTTCAGCACCACTAGCACCATCTGGAATGAAGAACCAGGAATTAGTATTTCAAGTATAAAAGGTAAAATGTATCCATGTAACAGGCCGTAGAGGCCCATAGGATTGTGAGACGTCGAGACTCCCATGTTTTAAGAATATCGGCTTCACAAATGGCCGTGAGGCTCTCAGCCCTACACGCCGGCCACTCTTTAACCCCAGGAAGATTTCTGGCCCTCATTTCTGTTAGAGACTGAGTCGACCCCAGGAAGAATGAAGCCAATTGAAATATCCAATGATCTCATTACAAATCGAAACCGCGACCTTCCGGTTTGTAGCATAGTGCCTCTACCAACTACGCTGCCTCGTACCCCCAGTATTCCAAGTGCATAACAATAAATTTTCTTGCTACTTATCTGAAGCTTAGAGTGAATTACACTTTTTTTGATTTGTTACTTGCACTAGCACTGCGGTACACCACCACATTCTCCCTCTCTGGTTTACCACAATGTACTGTGACGTACTTATCTCTCTTCTGTAGGATCGTATTGAGGGCAATTCATATTCTGATAAGTAAGTTTTAAATTTTACTTAACGCAGTGTCGCTCCAACCAATTGTACGGATTAACTGCTTTCATTTCTTCCCGAAAAAACAAAGTTACATCAGCGATGAAATGAGAGAATCTTCTATGGAAACATGACTGCGCCCTGCGCCAGAGCCCAAAAGTGCCCAGTAATGTGATTGGGCAGCTTGTGTTACGCCACACTAAGTTGCAAGACCGTTGTCATAATTTTAAATAGTCAGTAAGCTGTATAATTATTTGCGTCTGGATATTACAAGAATTACACTGGGCTACTCGACCAGAGGGGGGTAAGCAGTAGCGTAGTTGGTTGGGGCACTTTGCTACGAGTAGGAAGGCCGCGGGTTCGATCCCCGTTGAAGCAATGAATTTTTTCAGTTTACTTAATCCTTCCAGCCGCAATATGGCGCTGGATTGGACTCAGCCTCTAGCACAAATGAGTACCGGGAAGGTTCGATTACCGGCGGGAATAAAAAGAAATCCTTCCCTACAGCGGCAATGCTGACTCTAAGTCCCACTCAGGGGTAATGAGGGATCTTTCCCAAGGAGTAAAGCGTCCAGGCGTAAAATTGACCACTCACCTCACTAGCGTTCAGGTTAAGAATGGTGGAGTTATACCTTCGCTCTCCATACGTCTTCATGGCATAAACAGAACTATGATTGTGCCTCTAGTCTTTACGGTTATGAAAATTGATCACTCATATTGAGGAAGAATATAGACTGAGAGTGTTCGAGAAAATGTCACTGAACCAAATATCCTCATCTAAGAGGATTAAGTAGCATGAAACTGGAGAAAACTGTAGGGCAAAATATAAATGTAACTTTCGGCTGTGAGGGTAACTAATGAATCATGTTGCTATTTTACATTGTAAAAGTAAAGTAAAGTAAAGTAAAGATATCCCTGTAACAGGCCGGGGAGGTACACAGGGTTGTGAGATGTTGAGGCTTCCACATTTTCTAGAAAATCGGCTCATAGATCGACGTAAGCTTGTCAGCCTTACGCGCCGGCCACCCTTTACCCCCAAGAACATTCCAAGAATATTCCTGGTACTCATTTCTGCTAGAGGCTGAGTCAACCCCAGGGCCATAATGCAGCTGAAAGGACTAGAGAAATTGAAGAAAATCCAATGACCTCATCGGGATTTGATCTCACGACCTTCCTCCTTGTAGCATAGTGTCTCAACCAACTGCACTACCGCGGGTCCCATTTTACATTGTACAGAACTAAAATTATCTTACCAAAGGCTGAATATTTTATAAGTCACTTACGCCTCAGAACATTTCAAAATTTTCTGCTAGTACTTCAGGAGCAGAGATAGCGTAGCGGTATAGCGGCTGGCTATGGGCTGGACGTGAGGAGCAGAGATAGCGTAGTCGGTATAGCGACTGGCTATGGGCTGGACTTGAAGAGCAGAGATAGCGTAGTCGGTATAGCGACTGGCTATGGGCTGGACGTGAGGAGCAGAGATAGCGTAGTCGGTATAGCAACTGGCTATGGGCTGGACGACCGAAGGGTCGGAGTTCGAGTCCCGGTAGGGCCAAGAATTTTCGCTTAAACACGTTGTCCAGAACGGCCTTGGGGCCCACCCAGCCTCCTAGCCAATGGGTACCGTGGAATCTTTCCTCCTGGGTAAAGCGGCTGGGGCCCACTCACTTCCAACTTGTGCCGAGGTCAAGAAAATGCGGATCTGCAACTTCCACTCCCCCATACGTCTTCATGGCGTAGTGCTTAATTAGATAAACACAGTGTCAAATTTATCTTACCTGTCACTATTTCTCCACTTTGCAAGTTCTCCTTATGATGAATTGTCTTTCAATGATGATTTCCTCCCGAGGAAAAGTATTCCCCACTGTTACGATTATAAATAGTGAGACCTGACACAACAGAGATGAGTGTTTCTATGACACAAAGTGCGGTTTCAACAATTTTGCACGCACGATTGTTTTTTTGTGTACGCTTCTTGTTCCAAGAATAAGGCTTTCGGTCTGACAAATGAAGTAAATTATTGAACGAATTATCGTTAACTGCAAAACTGAAGTCGAGCTCTAATTCAACCCATAAATGTTTTATCTGTGACCCTACTCGTAAAAGAACTATTGTTATAATTTATATGATAGACATTGCTCTCGACACTTGAATACTATAGAATAAGTAAAATTGGGATTAAATTCTATAAAATGCAATATAATGAAGACGGTGGTGGCGGCCAATTCTGGCCGAAACAAAGAGAGGCTTTATTTTATTATTAAAAACCTCGTTGCATTTTATGTAATTTGATTTTAATTTTAATTATACTTTGTTCCAAAGAATTCGTTGAATACTTCACGTATTGCAGGCAGGCTATATTACACTTAGAACAATTTGAAATGTATTACTCGTATTACAAGCGGAATTAGTCTCATTAGTGAGATTTTTAAAACCAATGTAATTGGAATTTTTTTTCCAGCTAGAAAATTTATATTATAGGGTGAATATTTTCATAACGTAAGTGCTGGAATGGGGCTAATAAAATTCTATCTGAAATTAAACAAAGTCGGCGATTGATTCAATGTCATTAAAATTTTAATATCTAATTAATCAAGTTTATTTACTGTATGATTTTTATGTAGTTTTATCTGAAATACTGAAATACTTCAAATCCCTCACAAATGCCATGATGCATTCACCCGTAAATCGATGTTTTGTAGGATGCTAATCACGTAATTCAGTACTGATCAATAAAATTCGTTTAGCGTTTACTTGTTTGTGATTTTACGTTGCATTTAATTCGGTGATTATCAGTCGCTGAAGTAATTAAATTACTGATTAATATAGTTAGTTTAACATAAGATTTATTCCACGAGGTTTAACTTAATGTAATGTAATACTTCAAAGTTCTCGAGGATTTATGTTATATTTAAAATCAGGGATTTTTCAAGACCCATAAATTAGTTTAATTACTGATTAGCAACAGTAGTTTAATAAAATTTTTACGTGGTTTAGCTTAAAATACTGAAATATTTTACCACGTAATATTGTAACACATTTTCCGGTGTATACATTTTGTGTTCAACTAAGTACAATCTGTACCCATTTTCGAACCAGAAGTTAAACTCAGTAAGTACTGATTTACATCCTCTCATATTTAACTGGCATTAGAAAGAATATTTTTACGTGTTGGGTGTATATATCGCGCGACAAATAACTTCACGCCGTCTTGGATTAAAGAATTTATTCCACATTCGCTCTTACATTTACACAATTTACAATTTCACAAGTACCGCCATCTGCAGTATCACAATTACTTCTCCTGCTGTAGTCGCTTCCATTCACTCGATACAAAACAATAACTCATACTGGATCCTAGTAACTCTCTGGTTACTCTTTAGTAACTGGCTCTCTCTGACGAATAGTCCCGTTATGTAGCTTCCGCACTAACAACACAGAAAAAAGTTACGTGATAGCTACCACTGTTGCGCGACGTCTTGTTTACCGATTGCCTAGCAATAGTCTCTGCATGGACTCCCCTGTTGCGTGACGTCGCAGCCTAGCGTTGCGTAGTTACGGAATGAGAGGAGT